ATTTAATATTCCAAATATAATCTTGTTCAAAAAGAGATTGTATCTATTGTAACGGTATTTAAGAATTAAAATATCCTTATTATAATTTTAAATGAAAAATTTTTTTGATTTCAACTTTTTACATACTTCTTGAAATATTATTTACCCAAAATAAATTAAAGAGAAAGCAATACAAATTTTATAATTCAATTTCGTTAAATACTCTCTTAAATTGTATGAAACGATTTTAGACTTCGTTAAAACAAGTTTGATTTAAATAGATTTTTAAAATGTATGATTCAATACCGTAAATATTTTTCATGCAATTTAAAATACAAAATTATTTTTCAACTTGACTGTATCCTTTTTGGTATCAAAAAATCAATTGTGAAAAAATTATTTAGTTTGATTAAGGGAACCAATTGGAAATTTTATAATACATTTAATTTTTGTAATTCGAATTAGACATAAAATTTTATTAGATTCAAGATAAAAATTATACTAAAAATATTGAAAGTTCAACTTCTCTTCCATCAAAAATTTTCAAGACAAAATTTTGAAAATTTTTTAACTAAATTTTTATTTGCTTTTCTATTTTTTAATCTGATAGTGTTAAATTTATATTTCATGCTACTTAATCTACATTTTAATTTCAGTTTAATGCCATAAAAAAATAAAATTAATAATTGTATCAAGCTTTTCAACTACATTTAATTTATATCACGCTTACATTTAAATTATTACAAATTAAACATACAATTCGTTTAATACAAAAATATTGTCGTAAATCAAACATAAATATCATACATTAAATGTATTAAATAATAAATGTATTATACAAATTCATTCAAAATGTTCAAACAAATAGAATATAACAAATTTTTCAAATAATCGCATGATAGAAATAAAACTATCACGACATAAATGCGATATATCACAAAGGCAAATTATGTGATATAAAATTAATGTGCTACAAATTTCTATATACTTACGTAATCACAAAACTATTATATTTGCAAACAAACAATGTATACATACATTATATGCTACTATTTCAATAATATTATTAATTGAATTGATCTATGTATTACAGAAAATAATTTAAAAAATTATTATTTTTTATAGTTTGTTAAATTTCAAGCTTTATTTCAGCCACAACTTCTTAGAAAAACTCAAAAAAAATTTTAATTTAAATTTATTATTGTAACATTTCATATGTTATATCGATTAACCGTTATACCGTACCAAACCTGTTACATATTAACATGTCTATACAAAAATAACATTTAAATACGAAAAAAGGAATAAAATGTTAATGTTATGTTATATGTATTTATTAACATATATTTTCGAAAATAAATATTTTAACAGTGATTGCTATAAATAACAGAAATCAAAATGTTAAAATAAAATATTAAAATCAAATATGTTAAAATTTTTAAACATTACAGAAATTGACTCTTATAACCAGTTTATATTTTTGTAAGAATATGTGATTATAGAATTATTGCGAATATAAATGTCATAAATAATGAATATAAAGGAGAAAAAATGGAAAAATTTCGAAGTACGAAAATAAATAAAATAATTTGTGTGATTTATTTTGTAAAAGAAAAAAGAGAGAAATAAATAAAAGCAAAATGAAGAGTAAAACAAAACAAATCAAGAATCAATGAAAATGAGATGAGAATAAGAAAAAAAGTGTTAATAAAAAGCAAAGAAAAAAAAAAAAAGGAATGACTAAAATGAGAGAATGAATGAATAACAAGTTAAAAAAAAAACAAAAAAAAAAAAAAGTGACCAATAATAAGTAGGTTTAGGTAAAAATAGAATTAAAGTAGATTGAAAAAGAAAAAAAAAACGTCAAAAATTATTAGTAACTTGTATGTATGTAAAGTATGTAAATAAAAAAAAAAATATAGTATGACATCAATTTTATACTCTCAATATTCAATAAATTTTTTGTTGTTGTCATTCATATTACAAAATTCTGTTATTGTTCTCTGTTAGCTTCGGAATTTTAATTCGTTTTTCTCCGAAAAAAAATTTTATTATTATATTTTATTTATAATATGAATTTTCGAATTATTTTAAGAATAATATTAAAAATATTAAGTTTTAAGAATAATTTTTAAGTTACGATTGCTCCAGCTCCCCGACTTTTCAAACAATTAATGAGATTAATTTTGTGTTTCAAATTAATCTCTTCATTTTTTAAATTAGAAGAGATAATACTATTGATGTCGATAGTGTCGCTCTGAATGTCATGATACTTAAATTATTTTTGTAATGAGGTTGTTTGTATATTACAGTTAATATTCAATAAATATGTGTGTGTGTATTTATGTAGTAATGTATGTATGCATTGATGAATGAAAAATTGAATAAATTGTGTGTGTTTTTTTTTTTCATTTTCGGTTGTTCTTGTTGTCTTTTTTTCATAGATTTGTATTTTCATTTTTGTATTTCCTTTCTCACTCTCTTTTTTTTTCTGTTCCTTTTCGTTATTGTCATTTTATTTTGTTTACTTTGTTTTTGTTTTTTTTTTCTGATTTTTTTTCAAATATTCGAAATTAAGTAGACGTTCGATTCGAGAATTTATAAGAAAACAAAATTGATTGTTTGATTTCTTTAATTTTTTTTTCTTGTCTTTTTTTTTTTATAATTATATTGTTGTTGTTTTGGGTATGTGTAAGTGAATTTTATTAAATTTTTTTTTTGTTTTTGTATTCAATGATGAGAAAATGTTTTTTTTTCGTATTTCTATTCTTTTATTACTTTATTTTTGTAATATTTTTTTCTCTTTTTATTTTTATCTATTTCTTTTTTTTATTATTATTGTCGTTGTTATTTTATAACGTTATTTTGTTGTTGCTTTTATTGGTTTTTATACATTATTATTTTATATTTTTTCTTTCTCCCGGTATATATTGCATTTGTATTGTTATATACATATATGTGTTATATTATGTTTGTAGTATATTATTATTTCTCTCTATTTTGTATGGTTTTTTTTAGTCATCGTTAAGATTCCCTGCGAGTAACATTAAGAATATAAAAGAAATAACGTTTGTTTTTTTTTTCGTTGTACAAGTGAATAAATTTATTTCGTTTCATTTTCGTTTTTTAACTAAAATAGGTATATATAATTTTTATTACGAAATCAAAAAGAAAAAATTTTTAAAATTTATTATTTGCTAACTGTAGTTATACATATATTAAGAATTTTTCTTTAATAATATAATTTAAATATATAAAAAAATAATTAATAGAAGAAAATAATGCGGTGATATACGATGAATTAAATAAGAATTATTCCGCTTCCTATTTAATCCGATTGAAATTTTTGTGTGCGTTTAAAAATCAAATAAAATTTAAATGATATACAAAATATAAAAGTTAAGTAAGAATAAAATTTGAAAAAGGATTGCGGTAAAAAAAAAAATTATGTGTATTTATAAATAAAAACGTCGGTCAGATGCTTAAAGAAATTTGACATACATTGATATACACATACAATACATAAATAAATAATAAACATACTAAATAGTTAAAAGTATAACAATACAAAAATATAATCGAAATAAATTACGGAAACGGATTATTAAAAAAAACTTTATAACTGTATAAATGAATTTTTCTAAAAAAAACAAAAAAATATAACAATTATTAAAATAATAGAAAATATAACAAATTTTGGGAAGTTTTAAAAAAATTCAAATATAATTCGGCAAAATTTTCTCTAATTTCAAAATACTTACATTTTATAAAAAATTATAATAAATTTTTACAATCAAAACAAGTTTAATAAATGTAAAATATATAATTTTAAACAGAATTTCAATTGTTTGTATATATCAACTACATATATATGTGATTACTCAAAATTTCCGTTATAATATGGTATAATAAAATATAATAATAACAATTATAATAAATTTCAATCTCTTTACCTGTCCTACAAAAAAAATCATAAATCATACGCGATAATTTTTTTGTTTTTTGTTTTAATTATTACTAAGATTATATTCAATGTAGTTGTGTGTAAATATAATAATTTTAAACATATATATATATATATATAAATTAAATTAATACATTCGTATATATTCAAATATAATACATATATGTATATAACTGTTATACTACTACCTTAATACTTATCTATAATTATATTTTTACTTGTCAGCAACAGATCAACTGGAAATCATATTTTTATTAAATATTTTTATTATAATTCAGATAAAGTCATTGAATTTTTTGTTTTTTATACATTTTTAATATAACTATATACACAAGAGAGAGGGAGAGAGAGACAGAGAGAGAGCGTGAACCAACAAAAAAAAAATTTACAATTGAAATAAAAGTTTTATTCTTTTATTAAATTTATAATTTTAAATTTTAGTCGTATTCTATCATTAGTTCTGATTAAATTATAAAGAAAAATAAATACTTAATAATTTAAAAAATTAAATATTGAACTGAGCTATACTTACCTTATATATACAAACCTTTTTTATAACAATAAAATATTATAAAATTATATGTTATATACCAAAAGTATATACTTATATATATTAATAATAATTAATAAAATTATAAGTATTGCAAAATTTTCAATAAAATACTAAAAAATTATTTAAACAATTCACAATTAACATAAAAATAAAAAGGAATTTTATACAATTACTTAACTTATGCGGTGATATTAGAAAATATTAACTATTATACTAAGATTAAATTTAATTAAAAAAAAAAGTGAATATAGAATAATTTTTATAAAAATAATTTTATATAATTAAATTCACAATTACTATAAAATATTTTTAATAATAATTTTGTATTTTCGCACAGATAACAGAAAAAAAATTATTAAATATACCAGAATAATTTAAAAAAAAATAAATAATAGTACACAATAAAAAATTCTTTAATTTTTAAATGAAATGAAGAAAAAAAAGAATTAAAATTAAATTAAAAATAAAGTGAAAATGTTTTTCATTAATTTACCAAATTTAGTTTATAAATTTTTTAGAAAAAAAAAATAAAATTAAATTCCAAATTGAAAATTATTTTATAAATTTAAAAAAGTGTTTTATTTTTTTTTTAAACATTTCGAAATAAAATTTTTGTGTTAAATAAAACAAAAATATTTTTTAAAAATAATAAGAAAAAAGTTACTTATTAAAAATAAAAATGCTTCCAACTGCTGTTTCAACAACTACAACAACCACAACAACTGGTGGTATTGGTGGTCCAATAACTGGTATAGATTTAACAACAGTTGCAACTTCACCAACAGTTCAACAACCTCCTATGGACTGGTTATTTAAAAAAGAACGTATTTATTGGTTAGCACAATTTTGGCAGCAGGTGAGTGAATTAAATTATTTTTGTTTTAATTTTTTTTTTTTTGGTTAAGTGGTGTAAATTTTTTTTTTAATTTAAAATTGGATTCAATAATAATTGAAAAGTTTTTTTGCGGAATTTTATAAATTTAAGAGTTTTGTTTAAGAAAACAAAAAATAATTTAAGGCTCTATTAATTTTATTAGGAAAATTTTGTTTTTTTTTTCCCAAAATTTCTTGATCAAATTTAGGAATTTACTTAGTTATGAGAAAATTTTTTTGCAGAGTTTAGTTCAGAAATTTCAAATTCCTTAAAAATATTTGAATTCTTGATTAATTTTATTAGTAATTGAGTTTGAATTTATACTTAGTCACATTTAATACCGTATTAATCGGAATAAATATTTTAATTTGATTGAATTCGATTTAAATTATTACTTACGGCAGCTGGCTATACTCAAAATGATATGTCTCATATGTTTGGCTATATCCAAAATGATTAGCTTTTGGTACTTACGTAAGTATACTTAAAATTAGTGAAAATTTTAATTAATTAGTTAATGTTTGATTGAATGATTGATTTTTAATTTTTGATAATGAAATGTTTTTTCTCATTTATGTGACAATTTTAAAAGGAAACTGGTGACCTATTAATATTCCAATTTTTTTTTTTTTCAAATATTAACTAAGTACTTAGCTATTTATGAAAATGGAACAATGTAAAATCTATTTTAGCAATAATTTATTTATAGAACTTTTAAGTAATATGTGACTTTTTCTAAAATAATTAAGTAACGCTGAGATCACGTACTGATAGCGTCACATTTGATATGTAAGTACTTAAAAAAAAAAACTTAATTAATTAATGATTTACTTACACATAATCAATTAGAGATTATGAAAAATTATTAGACTTGCAATTTATTTGTTGTTCAAACCGCATTTTTAGAAAATTGATAAGTGCTTAAAAGCAATAAATTTATTTTTTTGAACAACATGCTAGTTTTGTTGCTCCTTTTGTATCACGGAATATGGTTTATAAATAAGTACTTTGGTAGCAGGTAAAATTAATTTCTTAAATCTCCAATTAATATTGGCATTTAAAATATTCGAATTATTGATTTGACCCTATAATTACTTAAAATATTAAGAGTCTGTGAAAATTCTTGAGAAATTTAAAAAAAAAAATGATATTTTATGATTTCAAGTTAAAAATAAAATTAAAATTGCTGATCGAAATAACTCAATTTACTGCTTATAATTTAGAAAGTGACATATGCTCTCGTTTTCAGGTGAAATATTCGATTATTGGTTATACCCATTTACTTATTTGGTATACTAGGTTATTACTTTTATAGTTAGGTATAAATTTTTATTTTTACGGCTATTGATTTTATTGAGATTCATTTTTATTATTAAAAGAAAAAAAAGGTACTTACTTATATAAAATTTCCTTTTTGGAAAAATTCAAAGTTGTTGGGCTATTGATGGTAAATTTATTATGGTTTCATCTATAAGTACATAATTTAAGTATTGTAATAAGGTAAAATTTTAATTATAAGTTTTTGAAAAAATCATGATATACGAATGTTGCAGTTACTTAATTTTGTCATAGAATTTTGAGATTCCGAATAATTCTTCGAATTAACCCCTGAAAATATGATAAATCATAATTTTAATAAGGTGCCTAGGAAAAGTGTTTAGAAATGTCCAGTATGGCTACGAATTTTTTTTTTCACAGAAAATTTATTTCAGTTTTTATAGTACACATATTTTATTGTAAAAAATTTAGTTGTAACTATTACTCCTATAAATTACTCAATTACCCCAACTTCTTTCACTCCCCGTAAAACTTTTCAAAGTAATAAGTATGAATTTTTAATGTTTCAAAATTTAATTTTGATTTTAATGTACAATTTGTTTAAAGACCACCTACTAGTATACATATCTTAAAGACCACTATTATTCATTTTGCGTAAACCACAAAACACAAGTTATTACTTAGTTTATATATCTTACACCTCAGTACAAATATTGTTAAATTACTTATATAAAGTATAATTCAAGTCTTCATTCATTTATAAATAAGTATATTAAAGAACAGTACTCATAGTTTTAAAACTATTCACTTGAAATCTTCATACTTAAATCGCTTATAGTTTAATTTTATATCTAAACCTTATTGATCTAATGTAAGTACTCAATTACTTGATTTTGTCTCTTGTAATGGAAATTTTCATATAATTCGTTTGTGACATATAGGGTCTTTTTAGTTGCGAAGACACAACCCCACTGCATATTATTTCTTTATTTCACTTATAAATTTACAAATTAAGTCTAAATTCGCCATTTTCAGTTGAAATACGTACCAGATCAATGTTATTGCCAAAAATTATAGCTATTTTACATAGGTCAAGCTAAAATTATCTTCTAATTTAGTCGAAATAATTCATCTTTCCAGTTTAATAAAAAAAATTGAAGTATAAGTAAAAATAGCTATAAGTATAACAACTACAAACACATCAAACATGAACATTTCAGATAAATAAATAAAATTTTGTTCTGCTTAAAGAAAAAATAAAATTTAAATATATTGATTTTTCTTTGTATTCAGATTACAATTTTAGAAATTAGTTTCTAAAAATATTCTCAAATTATTTTGTTTTTTTTTTTCTTTTCATATTTTATCCCTTTAATCAAAACTCCTTCGTAAGTATATACATAAGTAACTAATTGTAGATTAAAGAAAACCTACAAAAAATACGTTTATTTATACAAACATACAATTTTTTCTCTGTATTTCTTTAAGTAATTGAAATTATTTAATGTAAGTATAGCATCAGATATATATCGCACCCATAGGACAATATTATTAGAACATGAAAGTTGCCCCTTAGTTGAAAAATGCTATTCATTTTTTTAATAGTTAGCTGCAGTAGAAAGCCAAAGGACGTCATTCACTTTAAAATTAAAAACAAGTAAATATTTAGATGCAATTTGAAATGATTCGCCGGAATTACTTACATTTCAAGAAGTTAAAGTCATTTATCGCATATTTTTGGTCGGAATACCATTAATTGTATGCTTAATATTATATTGTTTTTGAAATCTTACAATCGATGCACGAATTTAATTATTAGAAAGAGGATTGGCGTATAAGTTCTCGAAATATAATAAACAAAAAAATGGAATTAGTTGCTGTCAATCAAAATATGTTTAAATTAAGTATAATAAAGAGCCCTGCATCAGATAGAAGTTTGACAGAATAAAATTGAGAGAATTTATGTTACGTGTTTCTCTCTCAATTTAATTCATGGAGAATGTCATACGATTATGTTAAACAGTTAAAATATCGGTTAAAAATAATTTTTTTTTATTTACTTTATAAACTTATTGACGCTTCTTTTGAGTTTTTTGGAATTCTTATTAACATATTTTCTTGGAACACATATTTTGAAATATTTTATTCTCAATTTTTGAAATTATCGAAAAAAAAATAGGGGATAAGTATATAATTTTTTATATCAGAAGTCTATTTTGAACAGACGAGACAATTAGTTATTATTTGTTAGGCTCTGTTTATGATGTCAGAACGAACCAAATTGTGTCGAGTTGTCTTTAATAGCTTATTGTAATGAATGATGTGCGTATACAGAGTATAAATAGTGCCAAGAATAAAAGGGCGAAATACCAAGTATTTCTTATTATTTTCAAATTACTCCTAATCAGCTTAAAATAGAAAATTATAGACAAAATATCGAACTTTCATCAGTATCTAAGTCATTTTTTCTAGTATAAAAATCCTGTTCTAGCATAGTTTTAGTATTATTTTATAGGTGCGATATTTTCATTGAATTTTCATTCAAAATTTATTTTTATTTTATTGTAAGTCTAATAGAATACTGTTAATTATCTTATTTTTATAAAATTTACGTATCTAAGTATATAAGAGCACATACAATATTTATATTGAAAATTAACCATCCTTTTGAATTATACATTATTATTTTTGTATATATATATACTCCCATAGTAATATAACAGATATATATACGACGATTGTGTATATCTCTAAAATTGTATAGTTGTCGAATTAAAAAAAAAATCGTTCCCTTATTTTTATTTTTCAAAAAAAGAAAAAATAAATAAATAAAATTCATCAAAAATCTGCAGACATTTTATCTATAACTGTATATATATATATGTGTGTGTATATAATTGATATAAATTAATTCCATATATAATATAGAATCTTGTCTATATTACAGATATTGATAATTATTACACACTTACATACATACGTACAATATTTAAATGACATCTGTTCATCTTAACTTTTAACTCATTTTTTTTTTTTTGTGAAAAGTTTACATTTAATTTTTTATAATTTTTTATTTAAATACATACATATATATATACATTAATTTCTATGATGTAGTTTTATTATATATAAGTATGTAAATTATTTGTATATATATACCGATAAATTTATATATGCGGAGATACCTCAAAATATATCAGGATTTATATCTATCAGAATATAAAAATATATATGGATAGGTATGTGTATCACACAATTGTATATATATTGTTATACAGTTGTGAGGCTAAATATACTAAATGTATAGTTCAATTGTAAGATATACATAAATATATTTTCACGTACAATTGTATATATACATAGATATATATATATATATATATATATATATATATATATATATATATATATATATATATATATTTAAAGATATTCCTGAGTGAAGATATCAAAAGTAGTAATAAAAAAAAACAACTCACAAGTAATTGTAATATTTTTAGAACAAGTATTTTATATATTATTATGTTTGTATGTATAGCAAAGTATTATATATATATATTTGTGTATGTATTTAGTAACATTTAGGCTATAACTACTATTTTATATATTTTTGTATTTTCTGGTTTGATTTTTTTTTTTCTAAATACAACCTTGCCAATTAGACGGTTAATGCACTTGTATACAAACTCATTTATAGAAAATAT